CAGAGAGAGAGAGAGAGAGAGAGAGAGAGAGAGAGAGGGAAGAAGAGAGAGACAGAGAGTGTGTGTATTTGTGGGTGTGGGTGTGTATGTGTGCGTGCGTGTGTATGTATGCTTGTTCTTATCTTTATGTCTTTCTTTCTTGGTATGGGTGGGGGTGGGGGGTGGATACAACCGTACTTGAAATATGCTTGGGCTAAGAAGGCTGAGTCTGTTTTGTCCCCGCCTAATGTTGCTTCAACGAATGAAAATGGATGAAAGCAATGTGAAATTGCTCTGACCGTTTTTTGTTCAACTCAAGAATAACTGTTAATATTTGTAATGGATAAAAACGTAAGGGGTTTCACTCAAGTTTCAGTGATAATATGTCATATCTAGTCATATCCTTAATGTAATCATGGAAGGGTACTGTTATTTCAGTGCACTCGTTTGGGACATTTCGCAGATTCTGCATGACGTTTTCATAAAAAAATCAGGATAAGATTTGTTGCTGTTCTTTCAGCTCTTGTTGCTTTTCTAGTTATTGATATCTGGCCTGCTGTTATTGTCTGCTGTGTTGTTTTCTACTTCTTCTATTGCCGCTACGTGTTGAAATTTTTAATTAATGTAATCAGCTGGTCTACATTCGTGAAAATAAAGAGAAATATTTTTTTCATTAACACGCGTGCATATACCACTTGCTACATGGCTTTAAGTGGGCGGAAATCATTTGAAAACTGCAGTCAACAAGTAATCTTGTGTTCGAAGGTTTCAGTGATAACATCTGGCACCTTACAAAGTTCTTGCACTTGGTTTTTCAATTGACACTGCGGCTGAGATTAAACTTTCGTGCGTAAAGTACGAATACAGGCAACAAAACACTATCCCAGTTGTATGCTGTGTTTTCAATAAAACCGCCCCTCGTTCCTTATCTCCTGTTCCGTGTGCGATTCCCCGCAAGATATGAGAATGAGAAGAGCGCCCAGGGACCACATGCAGCGGGGTGAGCAAAAAAAACCTGCACCCTTCAATTGCCGCTCAGTTGTAGAATGCTGACGATCTAGAAGAAGGAGAAGTGCATGTCAAGTGAATTCAAAGAAAAAAGTTTAAAAGCTAAAACGAATTCTTTCTCTTATTTAGTTGAGTCTCTCGCTGAGCAGTGGTTGTTGTTGTCACAGTGTGGGCACACAGGCATTGAATCTGTACCCGTGGGCATTAAATTTTTCATTTCATTAATTGAAGAAAATAATAAATGTATTTCGTAAACTGAACTCTTTGGCAATCACCAATTGCTATTGCAGTGTATTATTGAGGTACTCAGTCTAGTAGACAGTATGAAAAGATCACACATAGGCCTATTTGCTTTTTAAAAAATCAACGCCCGTTCTT